AGAACAGTTCATTTCAATAAGCAGTACAAGTACCTACTATGTACTTTCCATTCCATGCTTTCCAGGGGAGAAAACAAAAAACAAAAACAACTGAAGTTACCAAGAGCATAAGAACAGTTGAGCGTCACTAACGTTCAAAATTTACTAATACTTTCAAGGTATATTATATGATCAAAGAAGCCTGCCCAGTTTTTTTATTTTAACAAGAGATCAAATTTTCAAACATACCTATTAAGAAGGTGAATTCTGTATCTGTAAACTACAAAATGTGCTATGTATCTTAGTTCACAGTTATTCTTCCAATATTATTTGACTCTTGTTTTTCATCTATTTCTTGTGTTAAAAATTAAATGAAGTACAATAAAATATCCCCAGGTGATTGTGTTTCAGTTAATTTCTAGCATTTTAAGTTTTACATGTTGATGCAATACTATTCATTGCATGAAGGTTTATGGCTATCACTCCTTCTTTGTCATATTATCATTATCTATTTAATAATTTTGCTTTGAAATGGTCAGAAATTAAAATCAACAGAGGGTGATATCTCCAAAATGGAAAAGTAGAAGCAATGTGGCTTCACTCTTTATCACAGAAAACCAAACATAAACTTCTAGTGCCAAGATTATCACCAGCAATATCCCAGAACTTGAACCTGAGGCCGACACAATTCCTGGAGCCACAGAGAAGAGAAAAGCTCCACGCAGATGGTAAGAGAAATGAATTTCTCTACCTACAATGCCTCTCCCCAAATCTGCTTGGCACTGCATGCAGGAAATTCCTCTTCGGCTCACCATTTCTACACTGGATAAAGTGAGATCAAAGCAGAAAGCCAGCTTCCCCACATCTTGGGTTTTCTTGCAGGAAAACCACTCCTGACTCAGCCCATGGGAAGCATCACAAGTGCCTTAGGAAGAAAAACCCCCAATGGAGGCTACAGGCAAAGATGGGAAGCAGGATTAAAAACTCCAGCCCAAGAATTTCTGCTCTTTATTTCAGCCAAAGGAGACGCCTATTCAGAGTGGCTGTTCAGCAGCACAACATTGTGGGAGGCACAGTCCATAAATCTTCTGAGGAGGAACCACTGGGCAGCCTTCCTACATAGCTGGGATATCCTCTTTGAGATGCAACCCCCTCCCCACCACTGGGGACAGTACTGCCAAATGTTTCTGAGAACTGAAGCAAACCAGGACTTATGCCACCATCTAGTGCTAATAACAGGAAGCAGTAATCTAGGATAAAGGAGACCCACAGGCAACTGCAACCGACCTCTAAGCAAACATACTCTAGAAAGACCAAAACAAGCCAGAGAACAAACACTGGAATAAATAAACAATCCTTCAGTGTAAAGCCATAGACACGTATCCACAAAAAGAAACAGCAAGCAGGGAACCATGGCCTCCCCAAATAGACAAAGCAAAGTGCCAGTGACAAACTCTGATAAGACAGCCACGTGTGAGTTCTCAGATCAAGAATTCAAAGTAGCAATTCCAGGAAAGTCAGCAACTTCCAAGACAACACAGAAAAACAATTAAGAAATTTATCAGAGAAACTGAAACAGATTGAAATAATAAAATTAAACAGAAATGCTGGAATGACTAAATAAATTTGCTGAACTGAAAAATGTATTACAGGCTCTCAACAGCAGACTGGGTCAAGTAGAGGAAAGAATCAGTTAGCTCTAAGACAGGCTATTGGAAAACACACAGAGTAGAAAACAGAATAAAAATGAGCAAAGAATGCCTGCAAAATATAGAGAATAACCTCAAAAGAGCAAATCTAAGAGTCACTGGTGGTCAAGAGACAGGTGAGAAAGAGCAAGGGGTAGAAAGTTAATTAAAGAATTTATAAGAGAAAATTTTCCCTATTGGAGAAAGATAGAAATATACAGGTAAAGGTCATAGATCACCAAACAGATTCAATCCAAATAAGACTACCCTAAGGCATATAATAATCAAACTCTAAAAAGCCTGTGACAAAGAGAGGACCCTAAAAGTGACAAAAGAAAAGAAGCAAATAACATATAAAGAAGCTGCAATTTGTCTGGCAACTGACCTCTCAGGAAACCATGCCCTGCAGGAGGCACTGGGACAACATATTCAAAGTGTTGAAGGGGAAGAAAAACCCTGCAAATGAAGAATATTGTATCCCAAAAAGCTATGTTTCAAATATGACAGAGAGATAAAGTTTTTACCAGACAAACAGAAGCTGAAGGAATTCATTACCTCTAGACCCATCTTACTAAAAATGATAAAAAGAGTTCTTCAATATGAAAGAAAATGATGTTAAAATAAAAAAAAAATTGGAGGCATAAAACTCACTGATAAAACTAAGTACACGGACAAATTCAGAATAATCTAACACCATAATTGTGGTGTATAATCCACTCATATATCTAGTATGAAGACTAAAAGACAAATCTATCAAAAATAATAATAATTACAGCAACCTCTTAATATAAAAAAGGTATAAATTGAGACAACAGAATGTCAAGATGTATGGGGATGGACTTAAAAGTGTAGCGTTTTTAGTTTTTCCTTTTTGGTTTCCTTGTTTTCCTTTCTGATCAAAGTCAAGTTGTCATTCGTTTAAAATAATGTATTGTGTCTATAAGATGTTTTTTGTAAGCCTCATAGTAACCACAAAGCAAAAACCTGTAATAAATACACAAAAAATACAAAGCAATTAACTAAAAACATACTGTCAGAGAAAAACCACTTAACCGTTAAGGAAGACAGTAAGAAAAGAAGAAAGAGGGGCATTATAAAAGAATCAGAAAGGCTGGGCGCAGTGGCTCATGCCTGTAATCCTAGCACCTTGGGAGGCTGAGGTTGATGGATTGCCTGAGGTGAGGGGTTTGAGACCAGTCTGGCCAACATGGTGAAACCCCGTCTCTACTAAAAATTCAAAAAAATTAGCCAGGTGTGGTGGTGTGCACCTGTAATCCCAGCTACTAGGGAAGGCTGAGGCAGGGGAATTGCTTGAACCAAGGAGGTGGAGGTTGCAGTGAGCTGAGATCGCACCACTGCACTCCAGCCTGGGCAACAGAGCGAGACTCCGTCTCAAAACAAAAAACAAACAAACAAACAGAAAACAGAAATCCTATAACGAAATGGCAGTAGTACATCCTTAGTTATCAATAATAACAATGAATGTAAATAGACTAAATTCTTCAATTAATAGAAATGGAGTGGCTGGGTAAATAAAAAAAATAGGGCACAACTATATGTTGTCTACCAGAAACACAATTCACCTATAAAGACACACGTAAGGTGAAAGTGAAGGGATAGGAAAAGATATTCCACACAAATGGAAACCAAGAAAAAAAGAGTAGGAGTAGCTATACTTACATCAGATAAAAAAGATTTCAAGGCTAAGATTGTAAAAAGAGACAAAGTCACTATATAATGATAAAGAGGTCAATTCAGCAAGAGGACATAACAGTTGTAAATATATGTACCCAACATCAGGGCAGTCAAACGTATAAAGAAAATAACAACAGATCTAAAGGAAGAGATACAATATTAATAGGGGACTTCAACACCCCCACTCTCAGTAATAGAGAGATCATCCAGACAGAAAATCAACAAAGAAGCACTGGAGTTAAACTACACTTTAGACCAAATGGACCTAACAGACATATACAGAACATTTTATCCAACTGCTGCAGAATATACATTCTTCTCATCAGCACACGGACCATATGGTAGGCCACAAAACAAGTCTCAAAAAATTCAAAAAAGTTGAAATTATATCAAGTAACTTTTCTGTCCATAATGGAATAAAACCAGAAATCAATAATAAGAGGAAGTTGTAAAGTATAAAAACACATAGAAATTAAATAATATATTCCTGAAAAATAAGTCAATTAAGAAATTAAGAAGGAAATAAAAAATTTTCTTAAAACAAATGAAAATGGAAACACAATATATCAAAATCTATAGGATACAGCAAAAGCAGCATTAAGAGGGAAGTTTACAGCAATAAATGCCTATATCAAAAAATAGAAATATTTCAAATAAACAGCCTATCAATATACCTTAAGAATCTAGAAAAGAATAAACCAAAACCAAAATTAGTAGAAGGAAAAAATAATAAAGATCAGAGCAGAAATAAATAATATTGAGACTAAAAAACACAAAAGATCAAAGAAACAAAAAGTTTTTTGAAAAGATAAAATGGACAAACTTTTAGTTAGACTACAAAAAAAGAGAAAACCTCAAATAAATAAAATCAGGCATGAATAAGGAGACATAACAATTGATACCAAAGAAATACAAAAGGATCATTGGAGACTATTTTGAACAACTATCTGCCAACAAATTGGAAAACAGAAGACAGAGATAAATTTCTGGACACATACAGTCTACTAACAATGAACCCTGAAGAAACAGAAAACCTAACTGGAAGATATCATGTTAAGTGAAATAAGCCAGGAACAGAAAGTTAAACACTGCATGTTCTCACTCATATGTGGTAGCTAAAAAACAGTTGGTCTCCTGGAAGTAAAAATTAGAACAGCAGATACTAGAGGCTGGGAAGCATAGGGAGAAGTGGGGATAGGGAAAGATTTCTTAAAGGATACAAAATTACAGCAAGATAGGAGGAATCAGTTTTAGTGTTCTACAGCATTGGAGGATGACTATAGTTAACAATATTATTATATAGTTTCATATAGCTAGTAGAAAAATGATGCTGAATGTTCCCAACACAAAGAAATGATAAATGTTTGAGATATGAATATGTTAACTACCCTGATCTAATCACTATACATTACAGATATAGCACAACATCATTATGTACCCCATAAGTATGTACAATTATGTGTCAATTTTTAAAAATTATTTTAAAAGAAACACAAAGCCTGAGCAGACCAATAACAAGTAACAAGATCAAAGCAATAATAAAAAGTCTTCCCTCAAAGAAAAGCCAAGACCTGATGGCTTCACTGCTGAATTCTGCCAAACACTTAAAAAAATGAACCAATAACCATTCTACTCAAACTCTTCAAAAAAAAAAAAAACTGAAGAGCAGGGAATACTTTTAAACTGATTTTACAAGGCCAGCGTTAACCTATTACTAAAACCAGACAAAGATATAACAATAACAACAATCTTCAACAAAATACTAGCAAACAGAATGCAATAACACATTAAAAAGATCCATCACATTCTTCTCGTCTCCCGAGTGCAAGTCTGCAGCAGGCTCCCTGGTTGTCCGAATCACTGACCTCTCTTCCCAGCTATATTTCCAAAATGTCACTTTCTAACAAGCTGACGCTGGACAAGCTGGATGTTAAAGGGAAGCTGGTCGTTATGAGAGTCGACTTCAATGTTCCTATGAAGAACAACCAGTTAACAAATAACCAGAGGATTAAGGCTGCTGTCCCAAGCATCAAATTCTGCTTGGACAATGGAGCCAAGTCAGTAGTCCTTATGAGCCACCTAGGCCAGCCTGATGGTGTCCCTATGCCTGACAAGTACTCCTTAGAGCCAGTTGCTGTAGAACTCAAGTCTCTGCTGGGCAAGGATGTTCTGTTCTTGAAGGACTGTGTAGGCCCAGAAGTGGAGAAAGCCTGTGCCAACCCAGCTGCTGGGTCTGTCATCCTGCTGGAGAACCTCCACTTTCATGTGGAGGAAGAAAGGAAGGGAAAAGATGCTTCTGGGAACAAGGTTAAAGCCGAGCCAGCCAAAATAGAAGCTTTCCGAGCTTCACTTTCCAAGCTAGGGGATGTCTACGTCAATGATGCTTTTGGCACTGCTCACAGAGCCCACAGCTCCATGGTAGCAGTCAATCTGCCACAGAAGGCTGGAGGATTTTTGATGAAGGAGCCGAACTACTTTGCCAAGGCCTTGGAGAGCCCAGAGCGACCTTTCCTGGCCATCCTGGGTGAAGCTAAAGTTGCAGACAAGATCCAGTTGATCAATAATATGCTGGACAAAGTCAACAAGATTATTTTTGGTGGCGGAATGGCTTTTACCTTCCTTAAGGTGCTCAACAACATGGAGATTGGCACTTCTCTGTTTGATGAAGAGGGAGCCAAGATTGTCAAGGACCTAATGTCCAAAGCTGAGAAGAATGGTGTGAAGATTACCTTGCCTGTTGACTTTGTCACTGCTGACAAGTTTGATGAGAATGCCAAGACTGGCCAAGCCACTGTGGCTTCTGGCATACCTGCTGGCTGGATGGGCTTGGACTGTGGTCCTGAAAGCAGCAAGAAGTATGCTGAGGCTGTCACTTGGGCTAAGCAGATTGTGTGGAATGGTCCTGTGGGGGTATTTGAATGGGAAGCTTTTGCCCGGGGAACCAAAGCCCTCATGGATGAGGTGGTGAAAGCCACTTCTAGGGGCTGCATCACCATCATAGGTGGTGGAGACACTGCCACTTGCTGTGCCAAATGGAACACGGAGGATAAAGTCAGCCATGTGAGCACTGGGGGTGGTGCCAGTTTGGAGCTCCTGGAAGGTAAAGTCCTTCCTGGGGTGGATGCTCTCAGCAATATTTAGTACTTTCCTGCCTTTTAGTTCCTGTGCACAGCCCCTAAGTCAACTTAGCATTTTCTGCAACTTCACTTGGCATTAGCTAAAACCTTCCATGTCAAGGTTCAGCTAGTGGCCAAGAGATGCAGTGCCAGGAACCCTTAAACAGTTGCACAGCATCTCAGCTCATCTTTACTGCACCCTGGATTTGCCTACATTCTTCAAGATCCCATTTGAATTTCTCAGTGACTAAACATTGTGCATTCTAGAGTGCATATATTTATATTTTGCCTGTTAAAACAAGTGAGCTGTGTTAGCTTAGTTCTTTTTTGATGTAGGCTATTATGATTAGCTTTGTCACTGTTTCACTACTCAGCATGGAAACAAGATGAAATTCCATTTGTAGGTAGGGAGACAAAATTAATAATACATTAAATAAACAATAAAAGTGTCCACTGGAAAAAAAAAAAAAAAAGATCCATCACTATTATCAAGTAAGATTCATCCTAGGGATGCAAGGATGGTTCAACATATGCAAACTAACAGGATACATGACATTAATAGAATCAAGGACAAAAACCACATGATCATTTCAACAGATGCTAAAAAAGCATTTGAAAAAGACTGATATTGCTTTATGAGAAAAGCTCTCAACAAACTAGGTACAGAAGGAACATATCTCAAAATGATAAAGGCTATATATAACAAACCCACAGCTAACATCATACTGAAGAAGGAAAATTTGAAAGCCTTTCCTCTAAGATCTAGAACAAGACAAGGATGCCCACTTTCACCATTTTTATTTTACATAGTGAAGTCCTAGTCAAAGCCCTTTGGCAAGAGAAAGAAAAACAACGCATCCAAATTTGAAAAAAAAAAAAAAAAGTCAAATTATCCTTATTCACAAACAACACATTATATTTAGAAAAACCTAAAGACTCCACACACATTTAAAAAAAAGAAAAACAAAACAAAACCTAACCAAACAGATAAATTTGGTAAAGTTTCAGGATATAAAATCAGTATATAAAAATCAAATGGCTGGGCACAGTGGCTCATGCCTGTAATCGCAGCACTTTCAGAGGTCCAGGCAGGTGGATCGCTTGACCTCAGGAATTTGGGGCCAGCCTGGGCAACGTGGCAAAACTCCATCTCTACAGAAAAAAAAAAAAGCTAGGCTTGATGGTGCACAACTGTAGTCCCTGATATTCGAGAGACTGAGGTGGGAGAATTACTTAAGCCTGGGAGGTTGAGACTGGAGTGAACCATGATCACACCACTGCACTCCAGCCCAGGTGACAGAGCGAGACTCTGTCTCCAAAAAAAAAAAAAAAACAAAACCAATTGCATAGCTTTATGCCAACAACAAACAAACTAGAAAAGAAATCAAGAAAGCAATACCATTTACAATAGCTACGAAAAAAAAATATGTAAAATACCTAGGAATAATATTTGACCAAAATGTACAAAGCTATGAAACACTAATGAAGAAAATAAAATAGGACACCAAAAAATGAAAAGATATCCCTTATTCATGGTTTAAAAGAATTTAATATTGTTAAAATATCTCTACTACCCAAAGCAATCTACAAGACCAATGCAATCCCTATCAAAATACCAATGATATTCTTTACATAAACAGAGAAAACCTAAAATTCATATGGAACCTGAATAGCCAAAGTAATCCTGAGCAAAAAGAATAAAGCTGGACACATCACACTAACTGACTTCAAAATATACCAAAGTTATAGTAACCAAAACATTATGGTAATGGCATAAAAACAGACCAATGGAACAGAACAGACAACCCGGAAATAAATCATGCATTTACAGCCAACTCATCTTCAACAAAGGCAGCACGAGAATATACCAGAAAAAGCTAGTGTCTTCAATAAATGGTGCTGGGAAAACTGGATAACCATATGCTGCAGGAGAATTAAACTAGACCCCTACCTCTTGCCATATTCAAAAATAAAACTGAAATAGATTAAAGACTTAAATCTGGGACCTGATACCATAGAACTATTTAAAGAAAACACTGGGGAAATGCTTTGGGACACTGGTCTAGGCAAAGACTTTTTGGATAAGACCTCAAAAACACAATCAACACAAGTAAAAACATATAGGATTACATCAAGCTTAAAGGCTACACAGTAAAGGAAACAATCAACAGAGTAGAGACAATATACAGAAAGAGAGAAATTATTTGCAAACTATCTGTCTAATAAGAGATTAATAACCAGAAAACATAAGGAACTCAAAATACTCCACAAGCTTGGCGGAGTGCTTTGAATTCCTTAAAAAAAAAAAAAACAAAAACCTGATTTAAAAACAGGCAAAAGATCTGAATAGGCATATCTCAAAAGAAGACATACAATGGCAAACATGTATATGAAGAAATGTTCAACATTACTAAACACCAGGGAAATGCAAGTCAAAACCACAATGAGATTATCTCACCCCAGTTAGAGGCTTTAATTAAAAAAAAAAAAAGATAGATGTTGGCATGGAAGTAGAGAAAGGGGAACACTTGTATAGTGTTGATGGGAATGTAAGTAGAGCTACACGGAAAACAGTATGGAGTTTCCTCAAAAAACTAAAAATAGAACTATAATCCAGCAATTCCATTACTTGGCATATATCCCAATGAAAGGAAATCAGTATATTGAAGGGATATCTGCAGTCCCACATTTTTTGCAGCACTATTCACAGTAGCTAAGATATGGAACCAACCTAAATGTTCATCAATAGATGAATGGATAAAGAAAATGTGCTACATATACAGAATGAAGTATTATTCAGTAATAAAAAATTACTGAAATCCTGTCAAATATTGCAGCAATATGGATAGGACTGGAGGTCATATGTTAAGTGAAGTCAGTCAGGTACAGAAAGACAAATAGCATGTGTTCTCACTCATATGTGGGAGCTAAAAAAAAAAAAAAGTGTATTTTATTTTATAGAGAGTTGATGTTGGTTACCAAAGGATGAGAAGGGGATGGGAGGGAACAAGAGAGGTTGGTTAGTGGGTATAAAAATATAGTCAGAAGGAGTAAGATCTTGCGTTAGCTAGTACAGTAGGGTTACTATAGTTAACAATAATGTATTTTATAGCTCGAAATAGCTAGAAGAGAAGATTTGGAATGCTCCCAACATAAAGAGAAATGTTTATGGTGGTAGATATGCCAATTACTCCAATTTGATTATTGCACATTTTATGTATGTATCAAAATATCACATGTACCCCTCAAAAATGTACAACTATTATGTATGAATTTTTAAAAAGAAAGAAATTAAAATCAACAACTTTACTTTGTTTTTACTTCCATTTGCTTGTTAAATCTCTACCATCTCTCTTCATGGTTGTAATTTTCTGTTAGCGTGGCTGAAACAGAACTCTTGTAAACAACTTACAGTTAAATCTTATTTTTTAATTTAATATGAATGTTTTTATCTTTTAATAGAATTTAAACCATTTTCATTTACTGACATAACTGATGGGAAGCATGGTCTAGTAGAAAAAGTTCACAGACTTTGAAGTCAGATAGACCTGATTTTGAATTCCAACCAGCAGTTCAAAGTTCCTATCATAAGAATTAGTGATAATATATAAAAAGCATCAATATATGATATGTCCTCAATAAAATATATCTATCATTTATTATATACTTTCTTAGGTTTCTTTCTTTTACTGTAATGGCAAAGTTTTACTTATTTTCATTTTCTCATTGTTCTGAAATTCCTTTCTCACTGATTTGAGTTCTACTAATTGACAGCTTTTTAAAAAAGATATCATCTTTATTATTTCTCCAATAAAATTTAGGATTAAATGGGATATAAATATATAGTATGCACAGAATATAGTTTCCCCTCTCCCCTTACACTTTATTTTGCTGTCTTTGTCTTTCATTTCACCTTGCTTTCTCTTATTTCATAGTATCATGTCTTTATAACTTAGTTGAGGATGCCAGGCATACATTTTGAAATGTTGCTTCTGGTCCTGTAGTAAAAAATTTTTCAGAGGTACAACTGCCCTCTGAATCAACAGGATAATGCTACCTTTTTCTAATGAAGTATTTTTTTCATAAAGTCCATGTTGGGATTTTTTCTGTTTATCATACTTAAATGAGGAAAGATCTGTGTAAACCTAGTGTTTGCCAACAATGTATGATTTTCTTTGAACTCCCCTGTCATGTCCACTAGGGCCTAAGCAGAACTCCCTTCTTTGATCAACTGAGCGGACAAGAACATGAACAATTTCCTTGCTTGTAGCTCAATTTTCAATACGTGGCAGACTATCTGCTGACTGAGGTGGAATCACCCTCTCTTCCTACTGTCTCATTCGCTAACACCAAATAGAAGAGGAACATTAAAAACTGAAATCCCTGACCATGCTGTTAACAGAATTCTTCCTGGATCTGCTTCTATAAGCAGACCTTTATATCTTCCTCCAGAAGGTCATTGCCACCTTCTCTCTAGTATCTATATGCTACTTACTGGGAGCTACAGTTGCTGAGTAGTATCAAATGTGAGGAGAGAAGAAATGAGGATAATTCAATAACTGCTGGCCACTTACCATTTTAAAGCAAAAGTCAAGAAAGACTTTTAACAGCTGGCATTATTGGACAATGAACAACGCACAATGACACTATATAAACTCTTTCATCATGGAATATATTCATACAAAAACTGGATGATCTATTACTAATGCAGGAGCAATTCCTATATCAGATGAGAGGCTGGTATATGAATTCTTCGGGCCCTTTCAGAGGCTAAGAGTCTAAAAAATAACATATTTTATCAACTCAGTTACCTAAATATTGTTTCAATAACTATTTCACTAAATTTCTTACATGCGATAATTTGCATCTATCAGACTCCATTAATTAACAAAATATATAGCTGTGCTTAGGAAAACATGCTTTAAAAACTCATAGCCAAAAGTGGCAGAGGCATGCTCAAAATAAAGTTGTTTTCAACTTAGTCTTACAATTCCTTCATTTTAAAATTGGTAAATAAAAAAGGTGCTTTACTGGTCTTTAGGTGGGCAAGATAAAGCAGGTCTATTTTTTTTTAATTGTAATTAAATTACTTTGATTGATCTAATACAATATACTGGTTTGAACTACAGTATTTGCCATCTAAAGTCCAAAAGCTACTTATTCTGGAAATACTTCCAATTCACTTCTAGTTCAGTTAGGACAAGGAGTCATTGAAGATAGTTTCTCTACTTCCTTCACTGGCAGGTAACTCATAGAGCACTCATTCACATCAAATGATACCTTTAACAGATCATGTTCCCCAACATTTGCTGCATATGTCCATGTAAGTTTTCTGGTACCAGTAGGATCTGCCCAGGCAAAAAGTCGAGCTTGTCTTGGCAGCAAGACCATTTCTTCTGGTGACCCACTGAAACATGATGAACAGAGAGAAAATCAGAATTATCTTGGAGTTAAGAAAT